TATCACTTAACTCCAGTGAGAATGGCTTTTATCAAAAAGCCCCAAAAGAACAAATACTGGTGTGGATGCAGAGAGACAGAAACACTCATACATTGTTGGTGGGACTGCTAATTAGTACAACCTCTATGAAAAGGAGTATGGAGATACTTCAAAGAACCAAAAGTAGACCTACCATTTGATCCAGCAATCCCACTACTGGGAATTTATCCAAATGAAAAAAAGACATTCTATAAAAAAGGCCCCTGCACTCGAATGTTTATAGTAGCACAATTCACAATGGCAAAGATGTGGAAACAACCCAAGTGCTCATCAATACATAAGTGGTTTAATAAAATGTAGTATATGTATACCATGGAGTACTATTCAGTCATAAAAAAGGGTGAACTAATACCTCTTATATTACCTTGAGGGAACTGGAGACCATTTTTCTAAGTGAAGTATCATAAGAATGACAAAACACACACTACATGTACTTACCAGTAAATTGGAACTAATTGATCAACACTCATGTGCACATATGGAAATAACATTTATCAGAAATCAAGCAAGTGGGAGAGGGGAGGAGGGAATGGGTAAATTCACATCTAGCAGTACAATGCACAGTATCTGGGAGATGGGCACACTTATAACTATGACTCAAACAGTACAAAAGCAATTTATGTAACCAAAACGTTGGTATTCCCATAATATTCTCGAATTAAAAAGAAAATTCTGCCTTAAAATGCAAATGTCATTTGTAACACTGAACAAGGGAATCCAGAATTCAAAACATAATGATTTGGCCATGACTTTGGGAAATTTTCGGCCAAAAATCAAGGACAATTCCCTTCTCTCTGCCAGGCCTGAAGTTAATTAACACATTCTCTTTAGAAAGTAGAGAATAAAAAGTTCCGAATTCCAAGCAATGGACATCTGAAAGAATGTTTTTCATAGCAAATCACCTTTATTTTCCAAGCAAGAAAATATTAAATAATGTTCAAATATTAATCACACTAATTCTTTGGCCTTCTGATGTTAAGATAACTCTCTCCTTGAACTCTTTCAAGATTCTAATGGCAACAAGAAACTTTCCTATATGTCTTATAACTGGCACATAAAAAGACGTGGCACAGCTTTTTCAACCTGAGCGACTTCACTCCCTCCTTAATGCCCAAGGTCTATTGACAGAGATAATGTCCCATTGCAATATTCCCTTTTATGTTTTGGCACTGAGCAGTGCAACAAACAGAGCTGTAACAAAATAACAACCAAATTCTGAGAACAGAGAGAGAGTCATGCAAAGAATAAAGGACATCTTATGCTTTCATCCTCTTTCCCTTGTTAGAAACTCTTTCATAGAAAAGGCACAGCCCAAGCCCCTTAGCCAGTTTAGCCAGCCCATGCATTCACAGTTTGAAGTATTGTCAACTAGGATATGGCCAGTAAATTCTTTCCACCTTCTGAGACAAGATTACAGAGGGTCTCCTGGAATGGCTGACTTTTAGGGTGGGGGAAGGGGAAGGAAATTATCTTTTCATCATTTGAAATTGGAAACGTAACAATGAGAAAGAGGCAAAATTATCTGTCAATAAACTAATCTACCACACAAAGGTAAATAAAATGTAGAGCTGGTTCCACAGGGAGTTTATTCTGGGAGCCCAATAAGATATGTACATAAAACTCTTAGCACACGTTCAAGTGTAATAGCAATATAAGGTAGCACAGATGTTTAGTTTTAATTTATCTTTTGCCAACTTTTAAAAATAAATGTGAGATTTTAAGTGTATACTACACTATTCAATAAAAATCTCAAATTTTGCCTTTATTCCAGGCCTTAAATAAAGAATATTTAAAGTTGTCAGTGCTTCAGCTCTGATGAATGAAATGTCTGTGTACAGAATGGCGAGCTATTCGTTAACAATACACATTGGGCCGTGGGGGGATGTTGGCCTTTTTGCAGAGTCTATATGAAAACAGCCATTTATTCTCTCATGCTCAATGCTTTTGACTTCGCAAATGACCATATTCCATAAAACAAAACATAAAAGTTTTTCACAATTAGCAAAAGAAAAAAAAAAGACTGTGCTTACTGAGAATACAGGAAAGACGTTAGAGAAGAAAGAATTTTTAATCTACGCATCTAAAGCATTGGTGGAATTTGCCACGTACAGGTGAGTGAAAGGTCTGTCAAGAGAAGTGAAAGTTGTGAATGAAGATATGCAGGTGGAAGGAGGGGTGGTGTGCACACTGAAAACAGTGTGCCTTTCCATTTGACTGACGTGTTGATGGAAATGCCACAAATGGAGGATTTTGACCTGGTTTATTCACTGATGTAACTTAGATACCTGGAAAAATACCTGGCATATAGCATGGGCTTGAAGAAGGAAATAAATAATTGTCAGATGCCCAGAATATAAGCAATACTTGATAGATGCAGTCCTTGCAGCTTTCTTAAAGCTAGTGAACTAGTTATGACTCCACAGAGTAACAGAAACTAAGGTCAATTAAGCAAAAATGCAGTTTATTTGGGTCTAACATGGAACTCCAAATCATGAAAGCCTCTGGATCTTGGGAAGGACTGGAACCAGAAACAGGAAAGTCATTGAGAACCCAGTGAGTTTTCTGACTCTGCTTCTTTTCACTACTTTTTCCTCCACATCTGCACAACTGCCTTCTCTCGGCATTCTGGCCCACTGGGTCCCAAGTCTGAATGGCAAGGGCAGGCTGACCTCACAGCTGCTGGAATCACATGTAGCATTTTCCTTTAGGGGCAGTTTCACAGACACGCTCCCCTGCTTGGGTCCTCTGCAGCGCGGAGGGCAGGTTTGCCTCTAGGGAGCAGAGAAGGAGAGCTATTGGGAAACCGTTAAGAGCAGTTGTATTACACCTGTAGTATGCAATTAGAAGGCATTAAAGCATATGGCCAGGGATGTTCTTATTTTGTACGCCTATACATCTAAACCCGAAATACTATTCATATGGACTATGTTAGTCTGAAATTAAAAAAAAAATACTGCCCATTTGTTCACATATTTCCCTCTATCTTTTTCATTTTTAATATCCTGGTAATTATTTACCAATTGTTGGTCACCAGTCTCTTCAGCTTCTTTCAACATTGCCCTGGCTCTCCCAGAGACTGAGCAAGATCATTTCCCAACATCATCTGAAGTTACACTGAGTAACTTCAAATCAGTGTGTTCACGCTACTGACTGGCTTTTGTGAAAGTACCATATAGAGTATTTGAGAAGGGAAAGGAAATTACCTTACTCAGTTTCTTTCTCTTATAGATGAAAAGATTGATCCATGAGATGGACTCATGAGTCCACGATTAGGGGCTAGTAAATGTTTTGTAAACATAGGAATAAAAATTACATTCCTGTGATTCTAGAACAAGAAAAGAAAGATGGACTTTTAGGTATGTTGCAAAGAGCAAAAGATCATTCTTTAGGTTCTTGGAACCAACAACCTTAGTTTTATTGCTTTGCAAATTATGTGGCCTTGAATAAATCTCCAGTAAGGCTCAGAAAGCCTCAGTATTCCCAACTTTGCAATGGGAATAGTTATAATAATATTAATAGTGTCTATCTCACCACTCTATAGTAAGGAAGAGAAAAATTCAGTGTTGAAGTTGATGTCATTTAATAAATGGTAAAGTATTAAAATGCACACACTTATAGTTATCAATAAGAAGTGTGTTCAGTGACAAAGGGAAAACAACCAGGATGAGACAATTACTGCAAATTACTAATCTACACGTAGTTAATTGTGTATTCATGCATGACCAAATGTTAAAGACTAATTCAGTTTTAAAATACGATATATAACATAGAAAGCTCTACTCTCAGTTCCTGAAGTTATAAATAGTTCATCATGGATTTTCCATTATCTTAGAAAAGCCTAATAATATGCATGGCTTTTCATAATTCTATCCATAGGTAATATGAAATTGGATTCAAAATACATACTTGCTACTAAAACATGTTTTTATAATTAAGCGTTAGGTTGTGTCCACAAAATGGGGAAATATTGGAGAAAAAGATAGTAAAACCATAGAAATTTGGAGTCGGAAGAAAGTTGTTTAATCTCTAATTACAGATGAAGATGTGAAAAATATAAATTTCCATAGAAAAGTTCAGTGAGTTTCTCAAAAGCACATGCTCTTCAGTGTTGAAGTAAAGCTCAAATCTTCTCACTCTGAGCTGTTCACTATGATACAGAACCTACTATTAAAACACAGTAGTAAACATGAATAAAATTTCAAGTAGATCTTCAATGTAAAGTCATAGATCTGTAATAAAAAGCCACCTGCTTTTTTTCTGGTGGAATAAAAACTCTAAGTTTAATTCGAGAATTCTATTATTTATAAAGATAGGTGAAGCACAGTGGCCCATGCCTGTAATCCCAGTACTCTGGGAGGCTGAGGCGGGAGGATCACTTGAGGCTGGGAGTTTGAGATCAGCCTGAGCAACATAGAGAGACCCCATCTCCACCAAAAAAAAAAAAATTAGCCAGGAGTGGTAGCCCGAACCTGTAGTCCCAGCTACCCTGGAGGCTGAGGCGGGAAGATCGCTTGAGCCCAGGAGTTTGAGGCTGCAGTGAGCTGTGATGACAGAACAATACCCTGTCTCAAAAAATCAAACAAACATACAAAAATAATTTTAAAGATAACAATGATTCATTATAGGAATAAATTAACATTTCCAAACAACAACAAAAAAAACCCAGTAAAGTATTTTATATACTACTTGAAAATAGCTATATTTAGTTTTAAAGTTTTTCATCTTTGAGTCATTAGGTGTATGATACTATAGAGCAATGGGGAATGAAAGAGAAACAAGAAGTAATCACGAGGGAGCCAAAGGGAAGAAGGAAAAAAGGAGACTGAGAGAGAAAAGAGGTTGAGAATACACAAATCTGGATTGTGAGAAAATATTTAATATTTAGACACTAGATGGCGATATAATGTAAGGTGCTGTCTTGACTTTTTTTTTTTTTTTTAAACAAGCTATTTGCTGATTTGTATTAGGTACCATAGAGTGAGGCGAGGATGAAGCCGAGAGACTGCAGAGGTCCCTGGTGCATGTGTGTATATGTGCGTTTGTGTGTGTTTGTGTGTGTGTGTTCTGCCCCCCCGGTGAGACTGCAGCCCTTGTAAATACTTGGTCACCTTTTGCAAGAAAGAATCTGAACAATTGCAACTGAAGGCACATTGTTATCATCTTGTCTTTGGGAGATGCTGTTCCTCACTGCAGATGGGTGATTTTCCTTTTAATCAGGTAAGCCATCTAATTGTTTCATTGTGAATTTAAGCATATTCATTGCTTTTCATCCTTTGGGAAAAGAGTCCGTGGAAATTCGGTTTAGGCAGAGCAGGAAGTCCATTTTTGTATGTGTATTCAGACCAGCTGTCCCCTTCCTCTCTCTCTTCTCCTCCCCTTCTCTTCCCCTCCCCCTCCCCCCTCCTCTCTCAACCTTCCATGAACTGAAATCAGGTTTGTTTTGCAGTTCAGCATTTTGATACAAGATGGGATTCTTTGGCCTGAAATAGCTTGGCATCTGGCCAGTTCTTGCCTTTGCTTGCCTTCATCCTATTCAAGGTCTCCTTTTGATCCTTTTGAAGCCCCCTCCTTCACTGGTGCTTTGGGAGTGGACTAGCTGGCTGTGAATAGAGGTCATATTGTTCTTAAGGATGGAGCAAAAATTAGAGCTCAGTTTTAACTCTACAGAAGGGAAGAAGGCAGCCGGGATGCTGCCTGAGACTTGCATTGCAGGGGTATTCAGCTTCCTCAGGCAAAGGCTGGGCTTTGAGAAGAAATGCCTCATGTCTAGGGTGAGGAGGGGACAATGACTTTTCCCCCTAACTCTTACTGAACCACACTAAAAAAGGAGCTTGAGGGAAGTGGTAAAGAGTCCCCTTTTCCATGCAGTGACGAACAGGAAAGATTGACTTACTTTTAATTAGACGGAGGTCATAATCAGCAATGATACTGCAGATGCTGCTCGGTTCCCAATGTGAACCGTCTTGCTTTTCCAAACAGCACAAGAAATGTTTCTAGGTGGACATGAGGCTTTTTGAAATGTCTTTGTTAAAATGGATTCCCTCTCCCCTACCTGTTTGAGGTATGTGATTATAGACCGGACCGCCTTGCTGCGTTTACTTCTCGCATTTCTTTTTGTTCCCTTTGGTTACTCACTGGCGATTGTCACTCCTTTTTAACAAATTGGTCCAAATAGAGTGCTGGGCAGGTGCCTTTTCACGTGTCCAATGAGACGATTAAGTCAAGGCATGGTATGTTTCAGTCTGTATGTGCATGTGACTAAATATTTCTGAAGTGCAGTAGCAAACTTGCGAATTGCCAAACGCTGTTGCTGTCACATCTATAAAATGTAGCTTTTTTTCCTATGGATTTGCAGGTTCAAGTGGTATATCTGATGTGCTAGTGTAGTAACAGAGCATCTTTCTCCAAAAAGCACTTTAAATTATCCCAAGAGGATGTTGCCAAACAGAAATAGGAAAATTCCATGCTGAGGTTAGTGATTCCTGCTTTAGTTTCTCTTGCCCAGAGCATGGGTAGCTTACCTTCCCTGCTTGCTGCAATACCTGGCACGCCAGGGTGATGCAACTTGGGGCTTCCGCACATTCACTGGGCGTCTGACACTTTTCTTTCCTTCTGCTGTGCATTTCAGAAGTAGAATAACTGTGGTGAAAAACTCCTTTAAAACTCTCTTTTATGGTAGTTCCTTTTGTAATTGCTATTAAGCCTTGCGTCTCTCTTCTAGGAAGAGTGTTGCAATTTAGGCCTTCCTCCACAAAGCTCCTTGAAGAGATTTTTAGATGGTGTCTATTTTAGGAACATAATGTGTAGACAGGAATGGATGGCCACAGAGATTTACGGGAAAACAATTTCATGGAGAGGATGAGGTCACGTTATAAACCACTAGAACAGAGCACAAGTGGCTGGTTATGTCACATGAACCCACCCAGCAGTGGAATTACTTTTCATTAAACTCACTGCAACTCATTTGTGTGGCTTTTTTTTTCCTTCCCCCTTCATATTGTTTGTCTGTTTTTGGTTTTTTTGTTTTTGTTTTTTTTTTTTCCCAAAGATCTATTTAGGAGCCCAGTCCATCAGGAGTGCTCATACCGGTAAAAATAACACGTTGGATTTTGCTGTCAATGCCATTTACATGGCCCCCTCTTGCTGGGAAATTTGCTATCTGGAGATTCATTTTTTAAGGCAATTTCTCTTTAAGACATGGCAGAGAGGGTTTCTGCATCATTGGAGGCGGAGGGGGCACAATTAGGGACCTAGTTAATTATACAGTATTCACAGAGGCACTAGAGATCCCAGCCAGGCTTTTCTGCCTTGCCAACCAGAGGTACCAGGAGCAACCTGACAGACTGGAGACCCAAAGTAAACTCTGTCACCAGCAACACAGGGCATGAAAACCCAGGAATCTCACAGAGGAATCCAATAAGAAACATTCTAGTTCCTTGTTTAAAGGACACTGTCAGGGAATCCAGAGATTCAGAGAGGGAAAATATAAGAGGACAAGAGCACCTATTCTGGGAATTGCTGACCCAGAAGGGAAAATCTGGGGCTTGCTTGGTGTTACCTCCAGGACGTCACAGACAGGCAGTTCTCAGGGGTTTATGTTGGTATAAGCTTGACACATGAAAGCATCCCTCCAAAATTTAGCCTGGGAACCCACACAAGGTATTATTTTCCTCCTGGGTAGTTGGAGAGAGTGAACCTTACCACTTCTTCCCTGTACTTGCCAAGAGCACAAGGCCTGATCTCTCTCAGCTACCTTGGAAGGGGGATGGTGAAAGAGATCACAGCGGGGGGTGGGGGGGGGGAGAGAGAGAGAGAGAGAGAGAGAGAGAGAGAGAGAGAGAGACAGAGGAGCATTAGCATTTGAAAGTCCCATATTGGTCACCCTGAGGGTTAATGGGGCTGTGCTCCATGAGACAATTACATCCCTTTGAAATTCCAATTAGTCAGTTAAGCATGTCAGGAAGCCCACTTACACTGGTTAGGGTAGGGTGGGGCAAAGATTTATTCTCATTGCAATTGTGGTCAGAAAAAAAAATTACACCAAATTTCACCAAACTGCCCACAATTTTGTTTTTTAAACATTTTTTGGTCCATGTTTCTAGATCCCCATTTATTATTTTACTTAACAAAAAGACTTATAGCAATTACTCTGTGCCAGCCACTATTCTAAGCAGTATGTTACCAGTATCATCTCATTTAATTCTATGAGGTAGGTACTGTTGTTAATTTCACAGATGAGGAAACCAAGGCACAGTGTTGTTAAATTGACTAGTCCAGTTAAGGCAGAGCCCAAACTTGAACCTGGCAGTCTGGCTGCAGCATCTGTGCTCTTGACCATTTCTTACTACCTGTGTGATGCTGGGGCTACAACTTAGCCATGACAGTTAGGACTCCTTGTGTGTAATCTTGAACATAGCAGCTGTAATTCATTTGCCTTCTTACATGCCAAAATTTCAAAAATAATTTGTTTTAGAATGATTCTCCAAATCTGCTTCATTCGTCCGTTTTAAAAAAAAATTGTACTTGCTTATACTATACAAGGGTCTGTCTTCTGGGTGCTGGAATATGGTGAATAAAACAAAATTCCTGCCCACATAGTGCTTTCAGTCTAGCGATGGAGTTAGACAATAGACAAATCAATGCATAAAGAAATATCAATAAATATAAGTTTTGAAGAAAAATAATGCAAGATAAGGAGATAGTGAGGATGAGAGGGGCATGCAGAGAAAAACTAATGTTAAAGAGGTGGGGAAAGTGATTTTTGAGCAGAGATCTGAATGAGGTGAGGGCTGGAGTGAATCATGCACATAAATAGAGAAGAACATTCAAGACAGAGGGAAGAGAGAAAGCACGAAGGTTCTAAAGGGCAGAGTGCCTTACAAGTGTGAGGAATGGTACAAACTTTGTGAGTGATCTCGCAAAGAGAAGAAACAGAAAGAAGTGGGACCACACAGGTGCCCATGCATATCTGTGAATCTGGGAAACTGGGCTTAGCGTTTTAATTGCCCCTGGCCTTTCATTTAAAAAAAAAAAAAAAAACGAATCGAACAGCTATGTCAAGTAAATTTAAGACTTGTGCTTAATGTTGACAGGTTACTAGGTTAAAAAAGACTTAAATCAGTTACTTACGCAAAAAAATTCTATCTATTTGTAAAGTTTTCTGAAAAATGCGATAATTCCTAGAATGCAGAAAAATTAACTCAAAAATGGTTAAAAAGATACTATTTGATGAAAAAATTCTATTTGAATAATATTATTGGTTTAATTGATACAAACTGTTGGTAAGAAACATCCCTAGTCACCCACTCAGTCTTTCTTGCACCTCAGAACTTTCACCCTGAAATGATCACATTGAGGAGGTGCAGACCAAGAAGAGACAGTAAGGATGGAAACCAGTGTTTATCTCTCCTAATCTTTGATCTTAATTTTATCTTTTGTCGCTGGTGTTTTTGGTGACATATATTAATATAAGAAGTCATTAACTATCCTGAGGTCATAAAAATGTACTCTTATTTTTTTCCGACTCGTTTTTATAGTTTAGCTCTTACATTGAGGTCTGCGATTCATTTTCAGTGAACTTTTGGTATATAATGTGAGGCGGGAGTCTAGCTTTATTCTTTTGCTCCTTGGTATCTAGTTGTTCCAATATCATCTCTTGAAAAGACTATTCTTTCCCCATTGAATTGTCTTATTAATTTTTATGGCCATATATCTATGAATTTAGCATCCATTATTTCTTTCACTGTGTGCTAGGGATATATTTTCAAAGAAAAGTTCAGTTAGATTTTCCCTTCTTGAGAATCCACATAGTTTTAAGATATGAGAAAGTTGGCCCATATACCCTTAACTGTTAAACACTCTTTTGATTTAACTTCATGACAAAATTTTTCCTATTATTATTGAAAGCATATTCATTTGTGATTCTACTGAAAATTTAAGAAGATAGCGATGTACAGTTCAGTAATGAGCTAATATTTCTGTAGAAAGATTACTATTTATTTCTAAGAAACATCTCCATTGTATTGCACATGCTCTCTTGAAGTAATACAAACATTTTCCATGTTCTTTATATGTCGCTAGTGTGCTTCTGTTTCACAAACACCACTAGGGAAACTGTTGGACTTAAGATAGAGGTGTGCCATTCAAATAGGGTTGGTTGTTGTACTGGGCTGCCATAACAAAGTACCACAGACTGGGTGCTCTAAGCAACAGTAATT